CTCCCGGCTCACCAGGTCGGTCACAGCCGCCCGGATCCCTGCCAGCCGTCGCACAAAGATGGATGGGGGGAAAGTGGTGAAGTGGGCTCCCAGACCCAGCACCACCACAGTGTGGGGACCCCCGGCCAGGCCCTCCAGCTCCCGGGCCACAGAATGCAGGGAGGCCACTGGTGTGCGGAGGGAGCGCAGGGGCCAGCCATGGGCCCTCCAGTGCAGCACTATGCCCCGAGTGGTGTCCACAGCCATCAGGGGCCCCGTCTGATACGTGACATGTAGATCCACTGGCTTCAGGGCTGTTGGGAGGGTGAGAGAGGAGGAGTGAGTGATTAATAAAGGACTGAACGCCACCCTCTCATATAACTAAAAGTTCCAGTTTCACTTGCTTTCAGGACATAAGCATTCTTTATTAAAAAATTTATTTATATATTTAATCACTGTACATCTCTACAGCAAAAAAAAGTTTTGCTTTTTTTTTTTTACAGCATGAATACAGTGCATATTAGTGAAGTCAGAGGTATTATTTTACTGTGTACTTTATCATCAGCAGATACATTTTCATTTCTGTTTCTATAAAATGTTTTCCTCTCCTGATCCCCTCCCTCCCTCCCTGTTACCCACCCCCTCCTATACTGTTTCTAGTAGCCTCAGTTTCCCTCCCAGTTATTACCATTCAGTTTCTGCCATATAGTGCAGGCGTTCGGTATATATTAAGTGAGGACATACAATGCTGGTCTTTCATAGTCTGGCTTTCTTCACTTAGCATTGAATCTTCCATATTCATCCACTTTGCATCAGATGTCAGGGTCTCATTGTTCTTTATGGCTGAGTAGTATTCCATAGTGTATATGTGCCACATTTTTCAAGTCGATTCATCTGTTCTTCATCCTTTGGGCTGATTCCAGGACATAAGCATCTGTCCCCACACTGTCATGCCTCACTTCCAAATTTTCAAGATTGCCAAAGATACCACTACTATCCATCCAAACTTCTTTTGCTTTTAAACCTGTGGCATTTGACTTCCATGCACTGATAAATTCCTTCTGAAAGCCTCCTTTTTTGTTGCCTTCTATACTACTACATTATCTCATTTTATTTTATCTTTCTGGCCATTTGGTTAATTATTTGCTTCATATTTTGCTTGCATTGTCAGTGAAGGCATTGTCTAACATTCGTCTTCTTTCTTCTTTCTATCCTTCTTTATCTTTTATATTCTTTTTTTTTAATCTTACTTTATTTATTTTTTTATTTTAAAAGAGATTTTTGTTCTAAGGCATGTGCACTTGCTGAAGAGATAGAGACAGAAAGCAAGATCTTTTTATATTCTTTTTTTTAAAAAAAAATCTTACTTTATTTATTTTTTTATTTTAAAAGAGATTTTTGTTATAAGGCATGTGCACTCGCTGAAGAGATAGAGACAGAAAGCAAGAAATCATCTCCTAGCAGGGATGGCCGCACTGCAATCCCTTCTCCTCCATTCTCCTTCTGGAATTTTGGGCTGGTATGCACACGCACTCAGACTGAGTTTTAAGCTGCTGGGTTTGGGACTCAAACTGTGGTCGACTACTTGGTAGTCTAGCTACATAACCATAATGCCATCTGCTGTTCCCAGTTTAAGCTCTTAATCACTTTCCATTACATTCACCTAACAATTTTGTACAGATACACACTGAAGTGTCATCTAAAAGGCACTGCTTAGGTACTTTTGTACACCATCAGAGCTTACAGTCCCTTGGGAGAGAGTTATTTCCTTATGCAGAAAGGAGAGTAGAAATTCTGAGTTTCTATAAGGTTAGCAATCGTAGCATGTAATGAATGGCAAGAGATGGGACTAGGGGTGTAGGGCAGAGTCAAAACAGACAATACCTTGTAGATCATGTCCATGATTTGGATTTTTTGCCAAGGAAATTGGAGTTCATTGGGCATAAATAATATAATACAATTTACATTTTAAAAAGCACATGCTTTCTCTTTTGTGAAAACCTGGGGTGGAGGCACATTGGTAATGGCCAAAAATAAAAAAGTAGGGGCAGAGGGAAGAGTGTGGGCTATAGACGTATTTCTGACGTAAAGTAGACAAGATTAGATAATTAACTGCATGCTGGCATCAAAGACCAGCAAGGGTCTTTAAGTTTCAGATTCTGGCTTATGTGGTTGGGAGATAATGGTACTGACTGGGTTTCAGGAAGTCTGGATTATGTTTTAGTGCTGGAGAAGGCGGAGGGTGATTCAGAGGTTAGTGCTGTCTTAAATTGTAGGATGCTTGAGAGGCATTTCTATGGTGATATCAAGTTGGCAGCTGGTGTTCGGAAGAGTGATCTGAGCCAGAAAAGTAAATTTGGGATTTATTATAATTATGGGTGTTATTAGAGCCACAGGAATGGGCAAGATCACACAGGAAGATCATGTGAGGGAGAAGAGAGGAGAGTACATAAAGAACTTCGAAGAACTGCCTAATTTAGAGACCAGGGAGAAGATGACGAGAGTGAGGGGGAAAGACTAGAAAAATAAGAGAAAATCAGTAGCAAGTGGTGATAAGAAAATCAATAAACATGTTTGTATTTGAAAGAGTTGGATGTCTCACCTATTCAACTGAGACAAAAAACACATACTTTAAACAACATAGTTTGTTGAAGACACCCTTGTTCACTGCTATTGAAAAAATTTTAAAATAATGATTAATTTAATTTTATTAATTATTAGTATTATTATGTTTTATTTTGACCAGAAAGAGAAAGAGAGAGGGAAAGTGAGAAAGCAAGCTGCCAGGTCTAGGACTAGAACTGTGGTCTGCTATGTGGGAGTCCAGCACCATAACCACCATGTCGGGACTAGCAGTTGGCATAATGGCTATATCGCTGGACTCCCATGCAGTCGACCATGGTTCAAATCCCTGATCCAGTTGCTTAAACTCACGCCTGGCGCGTGTGCATGTGTGCCCAAGATCCAGAGAAGAGAATGGAGAAGGAATTATGGTGTAGCCATCCCCCCTAGGGGGTGCTTTCTCACCTTCTGTCTCTCTGTCTCTCTGTGTCTTTCTGGCAAGTGCACGTGCCCTATAGCAAAAAACTCTCAAAACCCCCCCAAAAAACAAAATTAAAAACCCCATACTATCTCATCTGCTGGCCCCATTTTTGAAAATTTCAAATGAAGAACTGGGCTATATCTAACAAATTTACATTTCCATTTATTACTTCACACATACTAGGAGTCTCCCTTATTAGATTCCTAAGCAAACTTTAAATATTATGTGTGTAAATTTACTAACATTGTTAGTGGCATTGTTTGTAAAGTCAAAATTTGAATAGAGGTATGTGTCCAGCAATAAGGGACATTATACAATGAGTCTTCTATAACCATAAAAATGAGGGAACCAGCAGTTAGCGTAATAGCTATGTCGCTGGACTCCCACATAGTCGACTGCAGTTTACGTCCCGGACCCAGTGGCTTAAAACTCATGCCGGGTGCGTGTGTGTGCGTGCCCAAGATCCCAAGAGGAGAATGGAGGAGAAGGGATTGCAGCATGACCATCCCGCCTGGGGGGTGATTTCTCGCTTTCTGTCTCTGTGTCTCTCTCTGTCTGGCGAGCACACGTGCCCTATAGCGAAAATCTCTCAAAAAAAAAAATGAATGTAGTAAGATCTAACAGTATGCTGTCTATGAGAGGATAACTTTAGCATTGGAAACACACATAGGGCCCAGCCTCTGTGGTGCAGTCAGCACCATATCAGACTGCAGAGCTGGAAGTCACGTGAAATGGTGGTTTGAGTCCCCAGCCTAGTCAACCTAAAAACACATCAGGTATGTGTGCTGGTAGGCTGGATGGTAGGCTGAAGGACTGGAAAAAGGAATTGCTATGTGACAGAGCCCTGTGGAACGTGCTTGTCGCTCGCTCGCTCTCCTACATGCACACGTGTTCTATCATGGACTTTAAAGAGAGTGAGAACATCAAGAACTCTAACACGCATAGACTGAAAGTGAACAAATGGGAAAAGATATTCCACGAATAATGGTAACCAAACAATCTCAGGGGTGGCTATACTTATATCAGACAAAATAGATTTTCAGTCAAAATCTGTCACTGGAGACAAAGAAGGTCACTACAGGATAATAAAGGGGTTAAGAAGATGGACCAGCAGGAGGTGTGGAAGCTGGAGCAGCTGTATCCCACAGGGCTGACTGGGGCGGTTAAAATCCCAAACTTGGCTGACGGGGCCATGCAGGCAACACAAGCTGGTAAGGATGCTGCCTCTCATTTTAAGGCAAGGCCTGGACTGGGAAGAAACTGAGGCAAGGCCCAGTTTACGAGCTCTCCCTTGTGTCCTTGTACTGGCCGGTATTTAATTTTTCTGCCGTGAGTTTTACTGTTGTTACGGTACCCTGCAAGGGTAAAACATTACTCTTAACCATTGCAATAAAGCCAATTAGTGATCTTGTAAGAATGTGGTTCCCTAAGACTGACAGGAGGACCAAGAAGTTTAAGACTCTCCCACCTGTCTGTTTTTAAGCCAAAATTAACATATAGATTAAGTTAGTATAAACCAAATTAGCATTA